GGGTGCCCCTTAGTGGGTGTAGGTGAGCTGCTCTGGACCCCAATTCCCTTCAAAGCTTGCTTTTCTTGCAGCCCTCCGCAGGAGCTTGGCATCCTGGCGTGTCCCCTTTTCCGGTCCCCATGGGATGGGACAGCCACCGGGAAGGGGGGACTGTCCCGCAGCACATCCCAACGCAGCATCTGGGTGTGTCCCACCGGAAAGCCCTGGATTCCTGCAGCTTCCAGCCCCCAGCCTGGCAGGGTTTGGGGCGGGCAGCATCCCCAAGGTACCAGCATGGGCTCCATCCCTCCTCTCTGCCCAGCCCTGAGCCGATGCCACCTGTGATGCTGTAAAACGGATGCGTGATGGTGGGACATCTGCAGCTGGACCATGGTCCCTGCCCATCCCGATCGTCCCTCTGTGCTCCTCTGGGTGAGAAATCAGAGCGAGATAACACCGGGATGACAAGGAATGAGCTGATGCCAACCGAGATCATAGAATCCCAGAATGGTTTGGGTTGGAAGGGACCTGAAAGCCCATCCAGTGCCACCCCCTGCCATGGGCAGGGACACCTCCCACTAGCCCAGGTTGCCCAAAGCCTCATCCAGCCTGGCCTTGAACCCCTCCAGGGATGGGGCATCCACAGCTTCCCTGGGCACCCTGGGCCACTGCCTCACCCCCCGCACAGGAAAACATTTTTCTAATACCTAATCTAAGTCTCCCCTCTCGCAGCTTCAAACCATCCCCCCTCGTCCTGTCCCTGCACCCCCTGATCCAGAGCCCCCCCATCTCTCCTGTAGCCCCCTTTCAGCACTGGAAGGTGCTGGAAGGTCTCCCCGGAGCCTTCTCTTCTCCAGGCTGCACACCCCCAACTCTCTCAGCCTGTCCTGGAGGGGACCAGGAAGGGAGATGACCAGGGGGATGACGGCGAAGAAGATAAGCTTTCCCAAAGGTAATTTAGGGCTAATTAGCATGATAAAAATTTCCTCCCTGGGAGGAGATCCTATGCCCCAATCTGAGACCCCCTTTGTCTGATGAATTAATCATGAGCACACCCATCACATCGCTAAAAATTGACCAATATCCAAGCGTTGGGTAACTTCTTCCATGTTGTAACCTCTATAAAAGCCCGCAACTTCTCCAAGGAGGGATGCTAGACTTGGGGAATTATCACCCAGCATCCCTTTCTGGACAGAACCACATTCAGGGTCAGATGCCCCATCCCTGGAGGGGTTCAAGGCCAGGCTGGATGAGGCTTTGGGCAACCTGGGCTGGTGGGAGGTGTCCCTGCCCATGGCAGGGGGTGGCACTGGATGGGCTTTAAGGTCCCTTCCAACCCAAACCATTCTGAGATTCTCTAAGATGGATCTCGACTCTGCTCATCAGCTCCAGCGCACCGGGCACAGATTTATTCCCGGATGGAGGGACACCAGCTCCTCCCTCGCTTTGCGACTGGGGATGAAGAGGAAGGGTGCGGGCAGCGGCCCTTACCGCCAGGAAGATCTGTGCGGCGCTGCTCACCACCTCGATGTACTGGTAGTCCAGCAGGCAGCCGCTGACGGTGATGACGTGATGGTCCTCGGGCGCCAGGTTGGAGTTCAGCACCGGCGTCACCAGGCAGCCCGGCCCGTTCTCCATCCACCACGAGCGGTGCAGCGAGGTATTGAAGGTCATGATGAAATCCCGGTCCTACGGAGCGGAGCAGAGGAGGAGGTATAGACCGTGGAGCTGGGGCTATTTGCAGGGGGGTCGGATAGAAAATGGGCTTTTTGCAACCCCAGGATGTTCCACGAGCATCCCACGTGCCTGGACCACATTAATGCAGCATGGCCAGAGAACCCCCCCATTGCCCTGTCCCGTTATTGGTGTCCTGGGAATTTGTGGCTTCCTCCCATGGACCATTTGGTCAAGGAGCATCCAGGAGTGCCACCATGCCCAGGTGACACCCCAGATGTCACGGAGCGGTCACTAGCACAGCTTTGAGGCAAGGTCCACATCCAGCCACCCGAGAGACACACTCAGGACGGTGGGATCGCCCCACCAGCGGGGTCAGAGGCTGCAGAGCAAAGAGGGGTTTGGGGTGCCATCCCCCCATCCCCATGGAGACTTTATGGGGGCCCCACTCACGCCTGTCCCCTCCTCATACACCCATTGCCAGGCTGTGGGGTGAGCACCCACCCCACGGAGGGTCCCCCCAGCCCCTCTCCATGCCGCCAGCCCTCAGATCTGCATCGGGGCTGGGAAATGCGCTGAGCACCCTTGGTAGGAAATCACCAATCTGGGATTCAAAGATTGTTATTTTTTTTTTGTGGGGGGGGGTGGAAAAAATAGAAAGCGAGTGGGTTTTGGTTTCTAAACCCAAAGGATGTGGGCTGAGGTGCCGGGAAGCACGGAGGGGGTGTTCTGGCATGGCAGCGTTACCGCGAGATGGGGATTTCCCCTGAAAACACTCAGTGGGGGTGAATCCTCTCCTGCTGCATCCCCAGTCTCTGCGGCACATATCCGTCATTTCAGCTTTTTACAAGAGTCTCAAACAACCTGTAGCAACCTGGGGAGATGATTTTGTCCTTGCAAACCCCCCAAGAAGCCTTTTTCCCCACTGAAGCCTTTCCCCCAGCCTTACGTGACGCGTGACGCCCCGGGCACAGCGCCGGGGACGACAGCATCCTCGGAGCTGGGAGCGGGATGCTGGAGCGGGGCACAGGTACCCAACCACAGGCTGAGGATGCTCAAACCATCTTGTTATGCATCATCACTATGTGAAGTTTTCCTTTTTTTTGGTGTAAGAGCTCTAATTTTAT